GCGTGTGCTCGTCGATTTTAGCCTCGACGCTTCGTGCCTCGCAGGATCCAACGCGCGCGCACTCGAGATGAAACCCGAGGGTAAAGAAACGTTATTCAAATTCGCCTCGTGGAGATTAGAATTAGAATCGACGATTTTTGGACACGTGCCTGCGCATCGACGATCGTTCGAAAGAGATCGGGGAAAGGGAAGATACGTCTGCGGACGAAAAATATTCAAATTTTCTCACTGTCCGGGTAGGAGACACGAGCCGGAAGTGGCGCTTTGTTCGCCTCCCGTGATTTATTTGCATGGCGCGACGGATACCGCGCAGCCTCCCTGAATTATAATTAAAATCGGCAACACGAGGCTGGAACGTGCGATCGGAATTTATTTCCATGTCTAAGTCGTGGCGGAGGGCAGCTCGGTGACAGCTGCGTGTTTGATTAGGTGTTTGGCGGTTTTCACTAGGATTTTCACGCTCGACAACTCGTTACCATAGAGAAAGAAGAAGAATTAGAGTTAACAGTGACGGAGGATAAATAGTTGTTCCAATGGTTTGATCAATTACAATAGTTAGAAATTTGTACGAACGTGAGATGAAAGTTTGGTAAAAGTGACAGAGGATCACAATAGATTGTAGATTCGTATGCATTTGTGAGGAATGAATATTATAATATTATCTTCTCTTACCAGAGATCTTACCAAAGAAGATTTTAAGATTTTCTTTTTACTCCTTCGCGTTTATAGAAACGAAAATTTGCGTGATCTTTGTACATAAAAATATTCCCTTTGATTGAAACATTTTGACATTTCTTACGGAATTTACGCAATAAACTATTTTTGTACGAGTGTCGAAAGCGCAGGTAAAATTTGCGATCTTAAGACAGGCCAGGCACATGGATGACCTGCGGATATTGTACGACAGCAGTTGTAAAATAATATAATATGAAGGGTACGAGTGTGAGGGAGAAAGAGAGATGCGGAGGAAGAGACCGAGTGGTAACAAGGATTCATCGAGAGAACAAATTGAACAGTATGGATTTGAACGTTGAAGAGAGTAGACAGTTTGAATCTGACCGTTGAATAAAAAAGCAGTGTAGACTCGTGTTAATAAAGTTGAATAGCGTGTAGTAGAATCTATTCAGTTCCATTCTGAATAAAAATGATTGTGCACACCATGGGCTTTGATCCGTTTGTTCCTTATTTATTTCAAAAAATAGATTTCACATTTATGTAATTGGAATAGAGAAATAATTTTGTTATTTTTTACATATTTTATCATTCCTTATTCGTATAGATTAAAGAAATAT